AAAAAATATAAAGGTTAAAAAATACTGTTAATTATTATATGGCTGACATAGACCAGATCGACTTACGAACTGTCAGTCAGAACGGAAGTCAGTCCTAAGTCGACAACCAAGTGTATTTGGTTAGCCTTCTATCTACTGGTCAGTGCTGTAATTATATTTCAAAAGCTGCACATATTTAATGTCTTTTTTTATGAATTTGTGGCACTGAACACACACTGTCAACATCACACATCTTCTAGTTCTACTGCGGTTCCTGGGATGGCTTGGCCCAAGTTCTTGCTTGCCATTGTTCATATGGATTGGGGAATAGTCTCACTATGTAATAAATGCAATAAATAAATGAGAACTGAAACATTCTTACATGACTACCCAGTAAGACTGTCAAAAATTCTTAAGACATAAGAAACGTACAATTACTTATGTCAACATAGTCTCAAAAATTGATGTACATTGATGGAAATCAACTTAAGCCACAATTTAAGTAAAATAACTGAGGCAGCATGCTACTCATGTCATGTACACTGAAGAATTGATCTTCATTACATATACTACTTTCAAACACATAAGCCATAATACAACAAATAAATTATACATTCTCAAGTATCTCCAAAATGCTATTTCTGTACTCTGATATAAATACAGTACCTTTTAACTGGTTGCAAATTACTTTAACATATCTGTTGAAAATATAACGTCATGTATAAACATAAGCCTATTTTTTTGGTTATCATGAAAACAGGCAATCCTATCATGAGCAAGTTCATACCGATATAATAAAGAAACATTTTAAAAGACGTATTGCATGGAGCGCCCATGGCGCGTATTTTTCTTGGCATAAATTTAACACGTACTGTAACCCTTAAATATACAGAGAGAGAACCGTGAAAATTTGAATGACAGAACGTCTTTCTGCCTTATTTCCAGCTAGACATTCATGACAAAATTTAAACCAAGGAACCTTACATTACAATTTTACCCACTTAAAATTTAACAAAAGGCCATAAAAAATTGAAAAGCATCTTTTTTTAGCAGTATCTATCATTAAAAACTAGCACTGTTGGCAGTTCTTAAATTACATGTGACTGGCGTGTTTACTATAATTTGCATAAAAGTTCGCAAAAAAAAAAAAATGGAACATAACACACGAACAGTGTAGTTAGTTTCGTACTTACCTCTAAACAATGTGGGATTTATCAAATCAAGTACTAAACATTGTAATTATAAAGTGACAAACTGCCTTTCTAAAATTCTCAAAGATATTTATGGCTGTCTGTCAGCCGTGTCAGCCATGATAGTAAAACAAAACTGCGCGTGGTAAAACACGTCTAAAGGAACGAACATGGTTACCAATCAATTCAAATCAAAGTCTATTCGGTTACAGATTAATTTTTGAACATAAACAAGATTTCGATTTGAGGTTTTCACCGCACGGCGGTGACTACTGGGGGTTGTAATGCCGTATAGTATGGAGCCGTACGGTCTGTTCTAGCAGTTTGGGAGGCACCTTTCAACAGTCTCTCTTTTTCCTGTTGCTCCAACTTTGGAGCATATGGCATCCGTGAAACGATTTGTTTCACTTCAATTTCTTACTCCTTAGCGCTCTTTAGCTCCTTAGACAGTCGGTAGGGTCGGTAGGTGTCCTTGTCTTGTGGCAGGAAAGCTTTGATCATAGAAATGTCGCGCGTTTGGAAAACAGAAACTGCCCACATTCAAGAAAATGTGACAACGATAGCATGTTTGCTTAGCAACGGCGAGTAAACAGCTGTTGCTAGGCAAAGCGAGTAAACACATGTTGCTACGCAAAGCGAGTAAACAGATCTTGATAGGCAGATCGAGTAAACGGCTGTTGCTAGGCAAAGACTAAAACAATAGGGACAGTGACAAATTTTCTATAGGTCCGACTCTAGGTTATATAAGAAGATACACAGAGAGGACAGCAGCTTTTCAGCACGGCTACAGAAGCAGTCTACAGTGTTAAAAGCAGCTACAAAAGGAGCAGTAGAGGTAAATCTCAGTGAAACGACAGTAGCCTTTCAGCACTGGAAATACAGAAGCAATTTGCCGTGTCAGAAGCAGCATCAAAAGAAGAAGCAATACAGGAAAATCTCAGTCAGGCGTCTATAGTTTTAAGCAGCACTATGTTGCGGTTATTAACGTTTATAAAGAGCTTCAAACGTTGGAGATGGTGGAGATGGTTGACAGGGGCCCAGGATAGTGAAATGAGTGCAGCTACAGCACACAAAGAGACATCAGACACGGAGAAGGAAGAAATTGGGATAGAACTGGCGCGTGCTTTGGAAGAGGTTGAGTCCCTAAAAATTGAATTGAGAACAGCCATATCACAAAAGGAGACTTCAGATATGGAGAAAGAAGAAATAGGGAAAGAGCTGGCACATGCTACACAAATGGTTAAGGCCCTAAAATGTGATTTGATGACAGCTACATCACAAAAAGAGACCTCAGACTTGGAGAGAGCAGAGACGGAGAAAAAACTGTCACGTGCTTTGGAAAAGGTTGAGGCCCTAAAAAGTGAACTGCAAACAGCCAAATCACAAAGAGAGACCTCAGATTTGGAGAAGGAAGAAATGAGCAAACAACTGACATATTCTATGGAAAAGGTTGAGGCTCTAAAATGTGAACTGAAAGCAGCTACATCAGAAAAAAAGACATCGGATTTTGAGAAAACGAAGATTGACGGAAGACTGGAAAATGCTATGGAAGAGTTGTCCACAAAAAACATGGCTACAGTCAGTACGGAAACACAGACCACAATACCTTTGCTGGAACTAAATAACTTGGTAGTACTAACAAACGAACTGACAGCTGGAGTCGAGCAGTTCTATCACATCCTTCAGGAAAAATAAAATATAAAAGAGACTTGAAGAGACAGGAACAAGAAATCACATCACAGAAACATACCTCAGACTTGGAGAGAGCAGAGATGGGGAAAGAACTGTCACGTGCTTTTGAGAAGGCTGAGGCCCTAAAAACTGAAATGCGAACAGCCTAATCATGAAAAAGAGACCTCAGATTTGAAGAAAGAAGAAATGGGCAAACAACTGACATATCCTATGGGAAAGGTTGAGGATCAAAAATGTGAATTGAAAAAATCCACATAAAAATGTACCTCAGACTTGGATAAAGCAGAGATGGAGGAAGAACTGTCACGTGCTTTGGAAAAGGTTGAGGATGCGGCTGCTGCCAAACTATCAACGCTGTCTCTGTCATACTCGTTTTATAATTGNGAAAGAACTGGCACCTGCTATAGAGAAGGTCGAGGCCCTAAAATGTTGTTACTATGTCATTTGCTGCTGGTAAAATCAGTGTTTCTTCAATTGTGTGTGGTTTCTTGCAATTAGCAATTCTATGAGAAACCTGGTAACAGTCTAAAAGGACCTTAGACGTCACATTTGTTGTTTTAGCAAATTTCTGTTGGGTGGATTTTAAACCACTAAGCTTTCTAACAAAAAAAAAATCTTTTGGTTTATTTGTAAACTTCGGGTGTTTGGTTTCAAGATGTCTCTTTTAATTTATTAGGTTTCATACTATCTGCAGTTAAAATACTTAAGACAGATTACTAATTGCGGACGTTCTTCATCATTGATCACAGTTTTCGTAAAGCCTACAGATAAATAGTTCTCATCATACCTTCTCGTTTTCACACTCCGAGTAGCTTCTATCCCACCACTAGTTGAAGGAGCACTGGTGTTTTCATTTCTATCACTAATCAGGAAATGCTTCATGATCAATTGTTCATAATCAAGTCAAATTCAAGAGGTAAACAAATCAGCACAACTGCACTCAACGTTGAATGCATAAGAAAACAACATCAAACAGGCATACCCGTCGATAACCATTGAGTCTGGCGACAAACTGCCTTCTCCCTGCCCAACAGGCGCCAATGAAATGACATAAGTCACTGCTTTCAGCTGCGCGTGTACAGTGCTGCCTGGAAGAGGATGCGGCTGCTGCCAAACTATCAACGCTGTCTCTGGCATACACTTTTTATGATTGCCGGTGAAGAGACTAATTATTAGCTATTTTTAAATTCATGATAATTAAAGCCTGTACTCATCAAGATTTTCTATATGTATTTTTATTTTTTGTTACTTTTCTAATTGATTTAGGGCAGTTTTAATTTGTATCTGTAGGAAAGTGTGCTGCGCCCCTCCTGGCGGTCGCGCCCCACAGTTTGAGAACCACTGTTTTAAACCATTCGCTGAGTTGTTTTGGTATACTGTTTTATTATATAATTCTGTATTTGGTTTTATGTTCTTGTAGATTTATTTTAATTAAAACTATTGCATACGTAAGTGACAACATTTATTTTATGATCGCTTGTTGCACATATTATGAAATGTATGTCGTTCTGCTTGATACACGTAGTATATTCTGTGACAAGTTTTATATCTTGTGGTCTTGTACCAATGATTGATCTTTGAATGCAATAAAGATATGATATTATATGATATGATATGATATTGTAACGTGTTTTGCCACTGAAGACGCCGTTCGGATTGTTAATTGGTTTATTCAACAACCTACAAATCTTGGCTACAATTAATCATAAGCGGCCTCCGTAGTCTAGAGGTAACGTTCCAACCTCATGACCTCATGACTCGAATTTTTAAACACTGTCATTGCTCGGGTTGTACTTATTGGCATGTAAATGTTTATTAGCCCGAGATCTGTGTGATACAGCGTAATGTGGCATGTTTGTAGGTAGCCTGTTGCGAGGGTGTGGTGCGAATGAATTACTATATGGGGTTTTAGTTCTGTGAGTATGGCTATTGCTGTGCCTGATCCTGATTTTATTGCTGGGTTCTGTATCACCGTGTACAAGGGGAGTCCCGGTAGTACTGTTATGTCAGAGAGGTTTGTTTCTTGTAGTAGGAGGATATCTGCTTTCTGTCTTTTGGCATACAAAGCAAGTTGAATTTGTTTCGTTTCTCCTTTGATGCTTCTTGTGTTGAGTTTTGGACTTTGACCATGATGAACAGGCCTAAAACATATCCTATAATCCCCCGGGGTGTAGCATGTGTTCATTTTTATGATGCTAAACTCTGAAACCGTCAATGATACGCTTCATTCTTCTTCTTAGGTTGTAGTCTTTCGTGTGGAACAGATTTTCTTCCAGCATGTTGGTAAGTTCTGTGATATTTGACGTATATTCTTTGGCTATTGTTTTGGGGTCCATCTGTATCCTGCAGGCTTTGAGAAATTTTGAGAAATTTGTATTCCTTTTGTTTTTTTCCGTTTTTCTCTTAAGTTGTCACACAAAATGTCTATTGCTTTATGATCTACTATAATTGTTTTGTACCTTGGGGTTGCGGTCACACTGCTGGGTATATCTTCAAGATCACCATAGTTGTTGGAAGAGAGCGACCCCACGTCACTGAGCTCTTTGTCTTCTGCATTATCTGGTATTCCATGTTTGTTTTTTGGGTGGCTGCTTTTGTTTGTGTGTTTTGTTTTGTTTCTTCCTTTCAGAGGCATGGGGTGTGATGGGCTCTTCACGGACTCCTACTGTGTCCATGCTCTATGCGTCTGAGATTGTTGGATGTTCGGTGTAGCGTTGTCGGTGACGTGGATTTTTGGTTACTCTGTGCCGTTACGCTCACGCTGTCTGCTGAGCTTAGTCTCTGCCGTGGCTGAGTTACAACTGGGAAAGTCGATATGTTGCCGTTGCTGGTTGTCTTTTGCTTTTATTTGCGTATAGGTACCTGGCAGTATAGGTACGTTGGCTTGTGGGGGTGGGGTGGTAACTCGTCGTCCAGCGGCGAGATCTGCATAGGTGATAGGTCCTAGTCTCGCTTGGGCAGTTGTGTGGCATTGCCGGGCTTATGACATTTCGCGCACGTGCTGTCGTCACAAGATACGTAAATTACGTAATGTAACGTGTTTACCCGGCGCCGGTGGGGGTGGCAGGTCCCGCCGCCGCCGCGTACTTGTCACTAAAAACTCTCACTAAGGCCACTGAGAGTCAGGGGTTCGTCTTGGTGCAGGAGCTGACGCTAAAGCCCAAGATTAAACAAACCACACTCCACACGTTGATAATATTATTAACCAAGTTTATTGAAGAAATGAAACACAAGAAAGAAATACAGTAATTTTACATTTAGAAAGAAAGAATGAGACCCTCGCCTGAGGCGAGCTGCCTTGTGTCTG